ACAAGTGAAAGATCATGATTTTTAAAAACATGAGATAATGATTCTAATATCTGACCTGTTGGCTTTGGTCTATCTATGTAGATACAACATGAAAATGGAGGTTCCCAATAATCAGATGGAATAGGTAACCTCTAAGATTGCTTCCAATGATCTCTCCCTGTTAGTATTCATGTCCCGTTGTGATCCCTGCTCTTGATTGTGGGCTGGAACTAGTGACTCACTTCTAAAAAATAGACAACTACAACAATGGTGGTGTATTAGTTTTTTGTGGCTGCCATAACAAATTACTGCAGTTACCAGTGGATGGCTTAAAGGGACAGAAACTTATTCTCTCATAGTTCTGGAAACCAGAACTCTGAAATCAAGGTGTTGGAAGGTAGCACTTTCTCCCCGGACTGTAGGGGAGATTTTGTTCCCTGTTTCTTTTGGTTTCTGGTGACTCCTCCTTCGCTTGTGTCTGTACCACATCACTCACTGACTCTGTCTCCACATGGTCTTTTCCTCTGTGTGTATCTTTTAAAGATACATGTTTTTGGACTTAGAGTTCATCCAATTAATCTTGGATGATTGCATCTAAAGATACTTAATTGTAACTGCATAGACTCTTTTTCCAAGTAATGTCACATTCACAAGTACTCCAGGTTAGGATTTGAACATATCTTTTTGGAAGCCACCATTCAACTCACTACAGATGGGATGACATTTCCTAGATTTGGTTATAAAAGAACATAGCTTCCATCATGGGTGATCACTTTTTCTTCTTTGAATTGACTGTTCAGGAGGAAGTCAGCTTCCATATCATAAGGTAGCTCCACAGAGACAGAGTCTGGAATTGGCCCCCTCAGCCCCAGTTGGGCTGTGAATGGCTATAGTAGTAGCCGACAGCTTGACTGCAACATCATGAAAGACCTAGAGCCAGAGGTACCAGCTAAGCTGTACCCACATTCCTGGTCCACAGAAACTGTGAGATAATTCATAAACACTGTATTAAGCTCGTAAGACTAAGTCAGTGATAATTAAGACAAATAAACAATGGGCATAGATTCAATTTTTCATATAAGCAAAATTTATGGAGTATCTTCTATTAAAAAATGTAATGTTTTATTTAGATTCAAATTTATATCTGTGATCATAAATAATGACCCAATTCTCAAGAATCTTATACTCTCAGGGGATAATAGACAAGTGCACACTGTGTACTATGATAAAGAAATGTACATGGTGCTAAGGTTCACAGCACATAGAAGGATCTGGTCCAGATTCCAAAAGCTGGGAATGATACTCTAGAGAAGGTAGATTCTGAACTTGTAAAAACATACCTACTCATAGTTATGTATTAACAAATTCATTTTTGTACAATATGGCAGATTGATGGCATTGTTACCATGCCTCACTCACTTGGAAAGAAAAAATAGTATGTAGATAGTCACACTGTGAATTTTCTTATAAGCAGCAAAGTAGGAATTTAAGAAAACTGAAAGAAATCACAGATGCTTTGAAAGAAATGGTAGGCTACAGCCTGCATCTCTTACACCAGGGAGAAAACCAAGTCCCCAGAATGTGGGAGTGGGATAAACTGCCTTCAGGGTATACAATCCTACTACAGAACCTGGCAATTCAGGTTACAGGGGAAGGCCTTACCCTAACCTGTGCTGGAACTAATTTAGGGAGCAGTGCGCTTCAAGCGATCCACTGCCTCAGTCTCCCAAAGTGCTGGAATTACAGGCATGAGCCAATGTGGTTGGCCTAGGTTAAACTTCCTAAAGGATGGTATGGTTCGTCTGATTTCCCTGCAATTGTTCCTCATGATATAATAATGAAACACAAATGCCTAATTATAAAAATCCAAATCACAAAACACATTTCCAACTACTCTGCTGTATCTACTCTCTTTCCAGCTTCCTGAACATCCCATCCCTATGGTTTGGCAGCCCGGTACCTTTGCTCCAAGTTAAATCTCCATTTAAATGTTTGCCTGCCAGTGTCCTCTCTACCTTAAAAAGCACAACACAAGTGATCTTTTTTTCTGAAAGTGTTTCTCAATTCCCAAGCTAGAACTGTTATCATTACAAACTGCCCTTTTATTTTACTTCTTTCTTGGCACTTCATACAGCCGACTTAAACATAAAGAACCAAAATGTATTTATCTTGCCATATTTTATTGAAAGTTAGAAGTGACAAGGGACTATTTATGTGCCTTCCCTTCTCTAATGTTTGCCATCCTCACTACCATTGCTAATCACAGTGCTTGATAACTATAATACGTTTTCAATAAATATTAGTTGAATAAATGTATACTTGATAATATTTCTAAATGGTGCATTTTTAAACAATGTGGAAGATTTTACATGTATAATATCCACTTTTCTTTCTTTCTTTTTTTTTTTTTTTTTTTTTTGAAATATCTCACTCTTGTTGCACAGGCTAGAGTGCAGTGGTGCAATCTCGGCTCACTGCAACCTCTACCTCCCAGGTTCAAGTGAATGTCCTCCCTTAGCCTCTCAAGTAGCTAAGATTACAGGCACCTGCCACTATGCCCAGCTAATTTTTGTATTTTTAGTAAAGACAGGATTTCATCATGTTGGCCAGGCTTGCCTTGAACTCCTGATCTCAGGTAATCCACCAACTCGGCCTCCCAAAGTGTGGGATTACAGGCATGAGCCACCACACCTGGCCTTATAATATTCACTTTTCCTCTAGGCTTAGTTATGTAAGGGAATATATTTGCTGAATACAGGTGAGTAAGGAATTGCTACTGCTTGCAACCAAAATTTAAAATTTTAATCCAATTTTCAGTATTTTTTCAACTTAAACTAGGTTATTTATTTTTTGTACTTTAGGTTCTGGGGTACATGTACAGATCATGCAGGATTGTTGCATAGGTACACACATGGCAATGTGGTTTGCTGCCTCCATCCCCCCGTCACCTATATCTGGCATTTCTCCCCATGTTATCCCTCCCCAACCTTCCCACCCCCCACTGTCCCTCCCCTATTTCCCCCCAACAGCCCCCAGTGTGTAGTGCTCCCCTCCCTGTGTCCATGTGTTCTAATTGTTCAACACCCGCCTATGAGTGAGAACATGTGGTGTTTGATTTTCTGTACTTGTGTTAGTTTGCTGAGAATGATGGTTTCCAGATTCATCCATGTCCCTACAAAGGACACAAACTCATCGTCTTTTATGAATGCATAGTATTCCATGATGTATGTGTGCCACACGTTCCTTGTCCAGGCTATCATCAGTGGGCTTTTGGGTTGGTTCCAGGTCTTTGCTATTGTAAACAGTGCCACAATGAACATACATGTGCATATGTCTTTATAATAGAATGATTTATAATCCTTTGGTTATATATCCAGTAATGGGATTGCTGGAAACTAGGTTTTGTTAGGAAAATTATTTGAATGAGAAAACATTAGTTACTGATTCAATATTTTCAAAAGGAGCTAATGAAAACTTGAACTTGTTACCACCTTCTGAAGGCAAGCTCAGCAATAACAATAAAAAGCCTTTAAAAGATCATAGTCATTGAGCCTATTATAAAAATTTTAGTAATGCTACTAATGCAAACCAAGTGATATACAGATTGATTTATCTATAAGAATATTCACTGAATAATACACACAACATAAAAATATTTTAAATCATGTTATATATTAACATATATAACAGAAAATACAAAACACTAATTCATATTCTCAAAGAATAGAAGAAAACAAATTTGTTACAAAAACAATAAAACAAAGAATATATATAATTGATATGGCTTGGCTATGTCCCCAGCCAAATCTCATCTTGAATTGTAACTTCCACAATTCTCACATGTCATGGAAGGAGCCTTGTGCAAGATAATTGAAACATGGTCTTTTCTTTGCTGTTCTCAAGATAGCGAGTGGGTCTCATGAAATCTGATGGTTTTAAAAATGGGATTTTTCCTATACAAGCCCTCTTCTCTTCTCTGCTGCTATGTGAGAAGTGCCTTTCATCTTCCTCCATGACTGTGAGGTCTCCCCAGCCATATGGAACTGTAAGTCCATTAAATCTCTTTCTTTTGTAACTTGCCCAATCTCGGGTGTATCTTCAACAGCAGTGTGAAAACAGACTAATACAGTAAATTGGTACCAGGAGTTGGGCACTGCTGAAAAGATACCTAAAAATGTAGAAGCAACTTTGGAACTGGGTTAACAGGCAGAGGTTGGAACAGTTTGGAGGGCTCAGAAGAAGACAGGAAAATGTGGTAGGGCTTGGAACTCCCTAGAGACTAGTGGAATGGCCTTGACCAAAATGGTGATAATATGGACAATGATATGCAGGCTCAGGTGGTCTCAGGTGGAGATGGAGGAACTTGTTGGGAACTGAAGCCAAGGTGACTCTTGCTATGTTTTAGCAAAGGTATTGGATGGCATTTTGCTCCTGCCCTAGAGATCTGTGGAACTTTGAACTTTTTCAAAGGTGTAGGGTGCAAGCTATTGGTAGATCTACCATTCTGGGGTCTGGAGGATGGTAGCCCCCTTCTCACGGCCTCACTAGGCAGTGCCCCAGTAGGAACTCTGTGTGTTCACAGAGTCTCAAGAAGCCATTTTCTCTTGTCTGCCACTTTGTTAGATGTGCCTTTCACCTTCCTCCATAATTATGAGGCCTCCCCAGCCATATGGAACTGTAAGTTCATTAAACCTCTTTCTTTTTGTAAATTTCCCAGTCATAAGTATGTCTTTATCAGCAGCATGAAAATCAACTAAATATAATACTATTATTGCAACTTTGCTTAAAAGAAAAATCCAACAAAACAAAAATAAAGTTATACAGAACAAAATGATAACAGAGGTTACCTTCAGAAAAAAGGCTCATTAGTGCTTTTAATTTTATTTTACTTTTATGCATTTTACTATTTTTTACAACATAAGAATATATTTGTAAACATTCAGCACATAATAAAAGTACTTTTATAATTTGAAGTTTTTTTGGAAATAATGGAAAATGTATAAACAATCATTTATTCTTACCAGGTTATGCTCAAATATAGTTGAAAGAAAGTGGACACTTGACTTATATAGCTTCTATCATACAGTTGCCATCAGAATTCTTCTATCTCTGTCTCTCCTATGTATGTCAGATGGAATCACAAATAACTAAAAATAAAAATATAATTGGAGTTAGAATTAATCAATAATTACACTTATGTTTATTTTAATTTAGAGGTTCAGTGTATCTTTTAAAATTCTATTTATGCTTCTTGCAAATGTTTAAGAAAGGTATCAAATAATGGAGAAATGATGATAAAATATGTAAATACTTAGAAAACATTGTTACGGATACCTAGGTAATGAAAAATAGCAAGATTTCTAGACGATGTATTAAATTATTTAACTTACAGGTATGTACTATTAAGGCTTGGTGATAGTTCTTTAACAACATATGCCTTTCCCCCTCGAGCAACAAGTATCCCCAACTATCTGTTTCAAATATTATTTAATTAGACCAAGCACATACACTGCTGATGATGATGAAGTAGGTAAAACCGAATTTTAGAAGGCACTTGTTTATTTTCATTTTCATTCTACTTTGATTGCTATGGCAAGGCATTTAGATAGCTTATCCTTCTAATCATGATCATGCTATAACAAGAATAGATATATTAATTGGTTAAGACTTTTATATTTTTATTCCAGTAAACAAAACAAAAAGGTCTTTCTGGGTAGATACAACAGCGCAAATTATGTCTTCCTTTAATTCTGTTATTTCAAGTGTACCTCGGACATAAATTCAAATAGTACCAGAAGAATTCACAGCATAGTATCTTTTGCCAAACCACTAAAACGACCTGCTCTTTTTGAGGGAGGGGTAAGAATGGAGAAACATATCTAAGTCTTTTCCCCTGCCTCCAACCATAACATTGATACGAACTCCTTGATACAGACATTGATGATGTCATATCTATAGTTTTGACTTTCTTAGACAAATCTCAAATAGGATTTTATCCCTTCCTCTGTGTTTCAATCTAAGCCATCTGAATATTTTGAAAGCCATCTTTTTCCATCTTAGCCACAATATTCTTCAGAAGCTTGTTGAGCTATTTTTTCATTTTATTTGTTTTCTTCTGCCTCAGCCTCTGGAGTAGCTGGGACTACAAGTGTGTGTCATCATGCCTGGCTAATTCTTGTCTTTTTAGTAGAGAGGGGATTTTGCTATGTTGGCCAGGCTGGTCTCAAACTCCTGACATCAGGAAATCTGCCCACCTTGGCCTCCCAAAGTGCTGGGTGGATTACAGGTGTGAGCCACCATGCCCAGCTTTTCCTTTTCTAACATAATTTTAGAGAGGATGAAAGGATCTCAGTTTAGTTTGCTGTGGAGACAAACACTGAGGTAATAGCTTCAATGTGAGAAGTTTATCAGGGAGATGATCCCAGGAAACGCTGTCAGGGGTGAAAAGAAAGAAGTGAGACAAGGAGTGGAAGACCTGTTACCAACAGAGATCATTATCAGACCTATAACACTATTGGCAACTGCAGCTTAATCTGACTGGGGAAAATCAGGCATCCAGTGTGTAATATACCCCTCAGATATACTCACTGTAAGAATGAGAGCTAGCGTATTTAGACCCCAATCCTCATTAGTCATTAGCTGAGGGCTGCTCCCAGGGGCATTAGTTCCCTGGAGCTTTCCCTGTTTGGTTGGCAAAGTGGTCTCTTGTGGCCAAAGAATCCCTTAGATAAAGAAATTCAGGATAAGCATTAGAAATTCTGCCAGTTTGCACTACAGCACTAAAAGAGAGGTTGTAGGCTGATCATCAGTAGCATCTACTACAAAAGGCAACAATTTTAGATTTTGAATTAAAATATTAGCGGAGTATATTTTAAGGCCATATATTGATATTTTATCATTTTAGTGAAAAATAATGTTTGCTTACTCAGTAACATTGTTATTTATTAAATCGTGTTATTTCCTTAACATTCACTGGATCTTAGCATGTATGAATGAACAATTCATTTCACCTTTCTGCAAAACATAAATGTTGTATCATCACATACTTCCAGCCCTAAAAATAGATGTGTTTATCCTGGACAGGAAATTTCAAACACGACACATAGCTAAAAGGTAAACTATAAAACTCTATCATGATTTCCACATTTATCGGATCATATTTTTCTTGTTTGTTGGTTTTAGATGAGAGAAGAGAACGGGAGAACAAAATTTGTTCTTTTTGAAGATGAAATAGTTTTTCCATTTATCTTGTGATAACTAGTGATCTTGTGAACAGAAATTAGAGAGAAATAATTTGAGATAAATAATTGTTATCAAAGCTATTCAATACACTTCATTCCAAAATTTTATAAAAGAAAATATTTTTGTTTAAATGGTCAATTTAACTTAATCAAGATAAATGATTGTTAACAAAACTGCTCAATAGCACTAATTCCAAAATTTAATAAAAGAAAACACTGTCCTTGAAATGGTCAATTCAATTTAATATCCCCATAGCCTTTATTTTTATCTTGGATCGACTGAAACACAGTCATAATGCAGGAAATACTTTTGAAACTAGAATACTTTATGCAATGTGACAGAATAAAAAAGAGCACAAAAATATACACATCAAAATATAAGAACTAACTTATGCCTATTTCTGTCTTTCTTCTTGCAGGAAATGACATATTTTCCAAATGGGATCTATTATTCAATGTCTGATATGATTATATTTTTCATAGAAAGAACACTTTGAATATTCCTGCAAAACCAAGAATTGGCTTAGGGGCTGCTCTTTTGAACATATTTTTATTTTAAAATATAAAATCCTGATTTCCAATTCAAATGCTTCTTAAAATTTTAGTATGAACATAATATGCTCAATTTGATACTGTTTTGCCACCATTTATTACACATTTTCACACAATTTGAAGATGTATATGAAATTAAATAAAGCCAACTATTTCTTTACTAAAACTTCCTTTATCCCCAAAATTACCTTTTAAAAAAGCATTAATAATGCTTTTCTTATTGATAATGCTTTTGATACTAATAATGCTTTTCATATTGAAACATTATGTTTCAATATGACTAAATGCTTCAATTTGATAATGTAACAGGTAAATGTTTAAATATTCCACATGCAATAAACCAGGCAAAACAAACAAGTTGGGTCAAATTATATTTCTACTTGTCATCATAAGAAATACAGATCACCATTATCATGATATTAAAATATTTTCAAAATCGTTATTCTCTTATTTGCCCGACTCCAAGAATTTAACAGTATTTAATCTAATTTGCAAAATGTTCTAGGAGTTTTTCTGGTTTTTTTTTTTTTTTTTTTTTTTTTTTTTTCCTCTATAGGCTTCTAAATTCAAAATATATAAAATCAGATCTTGGCCCTGATTTTCTTTCCTATTTTTTATTTTTTTTTTGTCCTGTGACTTCAAGTAGGTATGTAGTACAATCCCCACTAATTGCTCACACATGAAATCTGGCATTATTAATCCCTTTTATTTCCCTTACCACCTACATGCAGTTAAATAAATTCAATCCTATTTAATACGACAATCTCCAATTTGTTTTCTCTCCCAGTTTACACTCCCCACCTATCCATCCCTAGCCAATCTTAATTTCTCTAACAAGGAATTTGGCCATTTTACCAACGGACAAAGTCCAAATGCCTTAGCATATCTTTAAGACACCTCAAATGTTTTCACCCCAATGTTCTAAGCAACAGGTGCAAAAAAGGAGAGATTAAGATGATTGTCTTAAGCAGCTTTGAAAATTATTTCTTGTGTATTCTGTTCATCTCACTGAGGAAATGACATACAAACAGTCATACCCATATCCCTACACTCTAAGGATAATAAAACTAGATAAGTAATTTTGTTCATTAAACCAATATTCACTGAACTGAATGCCCAGTTATTTAGTTACTAGTGAGAGGAAAGTAAGTCTGTATACTCCTTTGCATGCATCATAAGGACTATGTTTATGGCAAGGTTAGGTGCTAAAGAAAAGTCTTCCTGAAAGACATGACACATTAACCTTCAGTTCACAGAAGCAGTCCAGTGGGGAAGGTGGGGAAATCCACAACTGGTAAAGGAAACATCAAAAAGCCGCAGGAATAGGAACGAACACTCCATCTTCACGGATAGGCTATTAGTATATTTGATATTAAAAGAGAATATGTATAGGAAACTCTTTCATATAAAACTTTAGTAATAAGATGAGGCCACATCAGGAAGGCTCCTGACTGCCGTGTTATAACATTTGCATTTTACCCTCAAAGTGATAAAAGTATGATTAAACAGGGAAGCAGTGCAATGAGATATGTATTTTAGGAAGATCGTGTTGCCAATGTGGCTCGGAAGGGACATGAAAGGAAGGGGATGAGACAAGCAGATTACTTCTTCGAAATTTGTGTGTATTTGTTAGATGCTAATGCAAAATAGACTCAAGGCATTCATATTTATAAGATGTAAAACTGGAAAGATCTTTAAAATTTAATTTATATAGGAATAGAACCAGACAAAGATAGTTTTGGTCCTGGGTTTTTCTATTCCCAGAGAAATCAGTTAGGACCAAGAATTCATATCACCTGTTATTCTTCCAAATGCATTCTAAGGTTCCATATCCTTAGCTTTCAGTATGGTAATGAAAAAAGTGATAGTGGATGAGACATAACAAAATCTTCAGAACACATAAAAGTTGTAAATTTATCCATTTAAATTCAAATTCAATCAATGTTTTTCATTGCATTTGATGAGAAACTTTCAGCAGTGCTTTGAAGCTCTCAATGACAGAAAATTTTTCTCATTAGAAAAAGTAGGAGAATAATTATCAAGTCATTCACTCTTTTTGCTGAAATTAGTGGAAAACACAAATCACTTTCCTTAAAACATTTGGTTATTATCTTTTTCAGTCTAAATAGGCTAAGGTAAAGTCTTCTTTCTTTTTTAAGATTAACTCTTCAAAAATTCTTATCTCTCAATATTAAGAGCCTCTTACGGAAAGCATAGTGTAGACACCAAGATAAATCAAAACTTGTGACATTTGGCCCCAATTAAAAAATTTACTTGATTTAATGAATGATATATAGCAAAGCTAAATTACTACCAGCGTAGAGGAACATTTTTAATCTAGTGGAACTTTGAAG